GCCACTCGGCCGGCCCTTAAATTATATTTTATAGTCATTCTAGTGGTATGAAATGGTATCTCATGGTTTTGATTTCCATTTCCTTAATGACCAGTGAAGTTGAACATCTTTTCATGTGCTTATTAACCTTTGTATAACTTCTTTGGAGAAATGTCTATTCAAGTTCATTGCCCATTTTTAAATTGGGTTGCTTGTCTTTTTGTTGTTGAATTGTTATAAGAATTCTTTATGTATTTTGTATGTTAAACTCTTACTAGATATATAATTTGACAATAGTTTCTCCCATTTTGTGGGTTTTCTTTTCACTTTTCCTGATAATGTATTTTGATATACAAAAATTTTAAATTTTTATTAAGTCCAAGTTTCTTTTGTTGCTTACACTTTTGGAGTCAAATCTACGAATCCATTGCCACATTTGAATTCATAAAGATTTACCCCTCTGTTTTCTTCTGAGTATTATAGTTTTAGCCCTTACGTTTGGGTCATTGATCCAATTTGAGTTAATTTTTGTATATGGAGTTAGATAGGGGTACAACTTCATTATTTTGTATATGGCTATCCAATTGTCTCAGCAACATTTGTTGACAAGACTTTCATATTCCTATTGAATGATCTTGGCGCCCTTTTCAAAAATCAGTTGCGCATAAATATTTGGTTTTATTTCTGGACGTAGAATAGCACCCTTTGTACTACAGATCTGGCCTCATGATTTCCATAAAATGTAGGCAGACAGAATTTTGTATTGGTTAGTTCTTTGTGCCATCATCTAGATAATGTACTATGAGAGATACTAATATAAAAATCATTTGAGAGTATGTAAACAAACACTTAACATGGTATATGTAGATAAAGATCTGTAATTTTTTCTTTTGCCTTTTCCAGCAGAAGTAATAGGCTGAGCTATTGTGTTTTTCTTTTAAAAATTACCTCCACCAAAAAAGAGAAGCTTTATGGCTGCTGTTGAGTGTTCCTTCTGATTATCTTTATTTCTTCACTTTTTTGTTTGTTTGTAATATCAGTACTTTCTTAGTAAAAATGAGTTTGAAGACTTGAAAGTTTTATACTATGTAAGATACGGAAATCTGAATATATTGGCTTTCCCAATGTATACTTGTTTTCTGTTAGAAAACTATAGGCTTGACTTTCTCAATACACAGTTGATTTATTATAAGTTGAATTGGAAAAATATAGTATTTTAAAATTGCATAGTGATAAACCTCACAGGAAGTGGCACAATATTTGCATGTGAGGAAATATAGGTAATGAATATATGGGAAAATGTATAGCTTTGCCAAAACAAAAGTAACTTTGAAAATACTATTTTATACAAGTTTATTTATTGAGGTGGTGTTTTATACCTGGTATATTGGTAAACCATTTTTAAGAGGAAAAAATGACCAATTGCCAATCATGTTTTGGTAGCCCATTCACAATACTGCTATCTTTAGAAGTAATACAATCCTTCCTGAAAGAAATGTTATTGTATGCATCAATAAGTTTCTTCTCAGGGAATTAATGAGCTTGCTTAATGTTTTGATGAGTCTTTTATATTCTTGTTTTACAAATGCTGTGTTACTATTCTGTCTTTCAATTTTAGATATGAATATCGTGTAGAGATGGTTCATCAGTCCTGCAATGATCCTACAAAAAATATCATTCGAGAGTTTGCATCTGACTTTGAAGTAGGAGAATGCTGGGGCTATAATAGATTTTTCCGTTTGGACTTACTTGCAAATGAAGGATACTTGAATCGACAAAATGATACAGTGATTTTAAGGTAATAGGAAACATTTGATATTGTGGCATTTTTCATGAGGGAATAATCAGAACTTTAAAATCTATTCATTTAGCAAAGATGAATATTGAAATTCATACTAGCTATAACCTTACCGTGTTCTTAACCTTTTCATTTCAGGAGTCCTGTGTAGTCAGTGAATAATTTAAGTTAGTCAGAAATACGTTTAACATCTAGTTACTAATTTCATAAAAAGGAAACTACTACTTCTAATAAACGTAGTAATGTACCATTTATCTGTTGAACTTCTGACATTTGAAAATCAAAGAATAGTGAGGGATCAAGTGCTTTTTTTTTCACTTGACATTGTATATATTCGGGTGACTTTTTTTACAAGCTTAATTTTATGAAAAGATTTTTAGTTCCTTCTAGATAACATCGAATTACAAATAAGGGAATAGAGGTGAAAACAAATTAAGTGATAGCAGTTGGTGTGTTATTTACAAGAAAGGACAAAACCTAAACGCTGCTTATAAAACCACAACAGTCCCATTTAATGTTGGGTAACCTTTACAAGTCAAGAAGTTTTGGGGCGTCGTTACACGATGTTTTACTGATGATCAAAAGGAGAACTTGAGTGTTAAAAAAATAGATTCAAATGTGTTNCGCCACTCGGCCGCTCCTATAGTACATTTGAACAACACTGTTAACCAACCTGACCTGATTGTCATTTATATCATGTACGATCCAACAATAGCAAAATAAGAATTATTCTTAAGTACATACAGAATATTTACCAAGATAGCTCATATTGTTGGACCTAAAACATGTCTCAATAGATTAAAAAAGATTCAACTCATTCAAAACACGTTCTCATAATAATAGAATTTAGATATTAGTAAATATTTTGTAAACCTGAAATATTTGGAAGTTACGAGGTGTGATAAAAAAATATGGTGAATGTTTAAATAAAAATTTATTACAATAAAAGACGCATTGCCTTTAATCCCCCTCAGAATACTGCCGCTTGCTTTGAACTTATCCCATCGTTCTTGCCACTTTCTGAAGCAGTTCTGGAAGTCCTCTTTTGTGAGTGTCTTTAGGTTGTGCTGTCCTGGCTGCCCTGATATCCTGAATTGATTCAAATCGTTTACCTTTCATGGTCAGTTTGACTTTGGTCACAATTATGTTTTATCATTGACAATAAATACAGTTATTTTCCTTCTTTGTTTTGGTCCAGAAATGTCTACCAGATATCTACAATTGAATAACCGTTGTTTGTCAGTTGTTCTTTCAATTCATGTTTCACCAAAAAAGTGACTAATGAGCTTGTAACTCATTAGAACAAAGTCGTTTCCTGAAGACAACCATTGCACATCACTATGCAGCACAAGTACTTTATGTGTATTTCCCATTTTGACACCAGGAGTTGAAGTTTAATAACATTTATCATTTTTACTACTTCATCAAAGGCATTCTTAAGAGACACTGGCAATTTTTTCTCATCTCAAAGTGTGTGGCAATGAATAATATGAATGACTACTGGTACATTTTAACTACCATTGCTTTGACACCATTAGCACAAATGTCAACAGAGTGAAAAAGGGAAATAACGTCATTGTATTATTATGAAAGTAGTTTTGACTTTTTGGATCCCTGAAAGGATCGTAAGGACTGACCCCCAGGGGCACAAAGCCTATATACTTGAACAACCTCTGGCATAGATTAACCTTAACGCAGAATATTCTTGCCACCATTGGTGAGTCAAACTAGGAAATATGCTAGAAACCTGGAAAGGATTCTGCCCTTTGATTGTAAGTATGTCTTAGTCAGAGCTCTGCTCTAAATCTCTTGTGCTGTCTGGAACAGTAGACTCACTTGTATTGTTGTAATAGTTGACATCTGCTGAATATATATTTTGTACCATGCTCTATGCTTTACATAACTCCTTCTGCTTTACTACCACCTTGGGAGCTATAGGTTCTATTACCACTCCCATTTCACAGATGGGACTGTAGTGGCTTAGTTATTCTCTCAAGTTCAGCATTTTATTATTATTATTAAAATTTATTGGGGTGACAATGGTTACTAAAGTTGCATAGGTTTCAGGTGTACAATTCTGTAATACATCATCTATATATCACATTGTGTGCTCACCACCGAGTCAGTTCTCCTTCCATCACCATATATTTGATCCCTTTACCCTCATCTACCACCCCTGCCCCGCCCCCCCTTACCCTCTGGTAACCACTGACGTGTTGTCTGTGTGAACTTCATAAAGTTCAGCATTGTTAAACAGCAGTCTGTTTTAAGAGATTTTTCAGTCGCTGTATTCATTGTTCTGAAGCACCAAGCTCTGTTCGATTTCCTGAAATCAGCCCTTATGTTTGGACAGTGGTTGATCTTAGACAGAATCCGTGTAAGTAATTTGGTGATAACAGGATTTTGTTCATGTCCCTGTTGCTGCCATCAGTCTTGCCTCTCTGTGTCTCTTGATGAATCTCTGTCCTGATTTATCTCTTATTTCTTGCCATGGGAAGATTCTTCTTCCTCTCGCTAGGCAGATTTTGTGACATTTCTATTGCCTTTGGTACTGGTTTCATCTTGGTGCTTTTATTGTTGACCATTTACGCTTCAGGAACTTAAAGTTCACATTGTCTTACAAACAGCAATAACAGTGAAAATGAAATATTAACATTCAGGATACTAAGGTTGAAAAAGATTAAAATTTGTATATTTGTTAGATATTACCTATATACTTTAATGAGGCTGTTCTATTCTGATAAAAACAGACATGTTAATTCTCCTAATGCTTTGGTAATTCTAGAGAAGGGTTTTGAATACTTTTTCATTAAATACTGAAATGTCATTATGGAATTCAGAATTTAACGAGAAAATTTAACTGCCAAAATATGGAATAAAATCTTAAATTGTATCATTATCTAGAAGATTTTAATACTGCCTGGGACCCTGCAGATGTACTTTCATAATTTCATTATGCTTAAATATCTCTGTATAATAGCTGTGTGTTAGCATACACGTGTATGGGCAGGACTTTCAGAGGCAGTTTGCACATAAGTGACATCCTGGGATTGACTGCACAGTATATGCCGAGTGACTTTTGATTTAGAGAAGGGAATTTCTGAGAGTTGCTTCCTAAGGAAAGAGTAGAACTTTCCTGGGGGAGTAATTTTAATGAAACTAAAAATTTTAAGTTAAAAGTTGTTAAATTTATTCTGACATTCAGTTTAATAGAAGGAAAGGATTTAAGTTGGAATATACAAATTTAAGGTTATAGCTTTAAGATTGGGGTTTAGGTACTATGTAATTTAACTTGGGTTAATTGCCATATTTATTAGAAATATGGGTTTATATTTGTCATGATTATAAAGAACTAATGCAGATAAAAGAACTTTTTCCAAACATATGTTTTTTCATACAAAACTGATTTTTCAAAAACTGTTTCATATTTTAAATTTCTACCTGTCTTGATCCTGGATGTATTGGACCATCTGCGTTAATGTCTTTCTCCCTAGAATTTCAATATTGTTGATTTTTTCTTAGGAGTTTTTACTTTTTCACTACTCATTTTTAAAATAGAAGTAAAAAGTTTATTTTTGGGTGAAATTTGCATAATATGTAATTAACCATTTAAAAATATACAATTCAGTGGAATTTAGTGCATTTACAACGTGTACAGCCACCACCTCTCTCCAGTTTCAGAATGTTTTCATCACCCAAACACACTACCCACTAAGTAAACACTGCCCATTTCTTTCTTCCCCAATTCCTTGACGATTATTTTGCTTTCTCTGGGTATTTGCCTAATCTGGATATTTTATATAAAATGTCATGCAATATGAGACCATTGATTCACTTAGCATAGTGTTTTCAAGTTTCACCCACATTGAAGCATATATCAGAACTTCCTTCCTTTATGTGGCTGAATAATATTTCATTGCACATATGTACCTCGATTTGTTTATCCATTCATCTGTTGATAGACATTTGGGTTGTTTTCACTTTTTGCCTATTGTGAATAATCCTGCTATAAATATTCATGTACCAGTTTCTATATGGACATGTTTCATTTTTTAATATATACCTAACTGTGGAATTGCTGGATTATATGATAATTCTGTGTTTAACATTTTGGGGGACTGCCAAACTCTTTTCCACAGTGGCTGTATCGTTCTATATTCTTACCAGCAATTTACAAGAATTCATATTTCTCCACATCCTCACCAGTACTTAAATTATTTTCCGTTTTAAATTATATATATATATATATATATATTTTAAAGATTTTTATTGGGGAATTAGGGGGATAGGAACAGTGCTGGGGAATTGGGGTAAGGGGAACAGACAAGTTGCTGTCGTTTTGTTCTTCA